TGCCATCATCAGGCACTGGATGGAGTTTTGAAGGAGAATGAGCAGGGGGCTTGTGGGGGCCTCAGCCCAGGGTAAAGTGCCACGAGGCTGGGGCTTAGGGACCAGCTGTGGAATTTGGAGGTGAGGCTCAGTCTGAGTCTGGATTTGGGGGCTGGATTCAGGAACTGAGGTGAGAGTGGGGTCCGGGACCTAATTCCAGGATTTGCAGCTGGGGTCAGGTCCAAGCCAGATTCAGGGTTGGGTTTTGGAACTGGGACAGGAATTAGATTTGGAAATGAGGCTGGGGGTTGAGATTAGGTTTCAAGACTCAGGGTTGGGGCTAAGATGAGGGGTAAGATCTGGGGTTGGAGCTAGGAGTTCTAGTTAGGGTTTGAAACTGCAGCTGGGGCTGAATCTAAGATGGGGTTGGAGTTGGGGGAACGGGTAGGGCCCAGGCGCTGGGGGGAGACATTTCTCCTGCGGCCCAGGTCCGGGAATTCTGCTGGAGCCCAGCAGCAGCTGACAGAGCCCCTCCCTTCCCAGGAATCTCTCCCATCCCCAGCAATCAAAAATGCCCACCTTGAAAGTTATCTTTTCAAGTCATTGAAAATCCATCTTCTCCCACTGGCTCCTCACCTTTGAGCCTCCACCTCACCCCCAGCCTGGCCCCGCGGTCCCAGCGCACCTATGCAAGCACTTTCAGACCAGCGAAGTCACCGCCCCGGGGAAGGTGGCCCGGACACCAGCGCCCCTCCCACGGCCCCTCTCCATCTCCCTCAGGGGCATTTGCACCTGCCCCTCCTACTGGTTGCCGGGTGGCCCTGCAGAGGGGTTGTGCAGGACTGATGCCTCACCTGGGGTGCAACCCACGTACAGCCTCGCAGCCACCCACATTCCGGAAGTGACCCAGCACCTGGGTCCTAAGTCTGTAGCAGGAGTCGCGTCCTGAATTGGAGGAGAGAAGGAACGTTGTGTTCTTCTATTCAAAAAGCACGCTCTGGGCATCTATGCGGGCCCCAGAATTCCCCCTGAAATTCTGAAATGGAGATATCAAATGACTCGCCCCGGCCCCTCAAGATAAATGTTTTGTCCTCAATTTTAAGATAAGGAGCCTGGGGCTCTAAGAGGTGAAGGCAAGGGAGCTTCCCTGACCCTCCCCCAAACCCCTCTCCTGGTGAATCCGCACCCAGCATTTATGGCCTGAACCTGCTGTAACTGAAGCTCCTTGAGGGCAGGGACCCTGGCTGCTTCATTTGCCCAGTCCTGCTGCCTGGAGCCTCCAGGACATGTTAAAGGAGTAAATGAGTAACCACTCTGAGGTCCCTCACCAAGCTCCCATGGTGTAAGGACTGCAGCTGGGGTTCGGGTCCAGAGCCCTTCTTTCCCTTTGCACAACTTTAGAAAACTCTTGGAGGAACCGTGAAGAGTGGGGTGCTGAAGAGTCGGGAAGCAGTGGGGATGAGGCAGGGAATGGGATGGAGAAATGTGGAGAGGTGGCTCCCTGGGACGTGCATACGTGAGGAACAAGGACAAGAGGAGGAGCAGGTTTGGGTAAGAGGACGAGCTCGGGTTGGACCTGTTGCATCAGAGGTGACTATGGGACATCAGGGCGACAGTTGGCTTATGGGTCTGGAGCCTGGGAGGGAGATTGGGATTTGAGGGGCACGGGTGACTCGGGAACCTGCGGCCATGGCTGTGAGATTGGATGGGCTGTTAGGGGAAGGCAGGTGTTAAGGATGAGATCCTAACCTGCAGAGAAGGAACCACAGCCCTAAGAGAGAATATTCAGGGTCAGGCTGCTGGTTCCAGAAGGGTTAAGTCACCCCCCTTCCCTCCCCATCACCCTCCCCCCAGGAGCCAGTGGTGACAGCTGAAGCCATGTGAGTTGGATCCTGAATGAGGCTTTATCTCTGGCTCTTCGTCATCGGCCACCGTCCACCATCCACCATGGCACCAGCTCCCTCGGGCAGCCGGGATGGGACAGGCAACTGAGAGAGCCAGAGAGGTCAGCTGGGGAAGGGGGTTCCCTGGAGGGGTGGGGTGCTTTATAGGGGGGAACTCTCCTGGGGTCATTGGGGAGGCAGCCCAAGCAGCAGTGCTGGGGAGGGGCCTTTCCTGGGGGGTGTTCCAGGGGACATGGGAGGATTCCCAGGGATCATCCCCACAGGCCCCAGGAGGGACCATGGGGGGCAGGCGGGCTGGGGAGGTAACAGCAGTGATTCTCCCTCACAGATGATGGTGCCTTTGCTCTGGACTGTGAGAGGAATAGGACTTTGGACTTCCAGCTGCCAAGCAGGTGGTGGGGGCTCCAGGCCATGATCTGCACCCTCTAACCCTGGTGCTGCCCTCTGCCCTGACTTGCACCAGACCCGGCCATGTCGGAAGGAGAGGCTCCTGCCCCGCGGGGCCGGGCGCTGCCCCCAGATGTGCTGGCAGAGCAGGTGGAGTTATGGTGGTCCCAGGAGCCACGGCGCTCGGCACTCTGCTTTGCCATGGCGGTGGGCCTCGTGGCTGGCTGCGGGGCAGGCGGCGTGGCACTGCTCGCCTC